ATGTTTAAGGTTTTTTCACTTCAATTAAAAAAAGATTAAATTTTTCTTGTTTTTTAAAATAAATCATCAATTTTTATCTACCCAAAACATTTCACCCAATAGAAAACAAATCTGCAGAATTCAAATAGTCAAAATCACTAAAAAATCAATTAATTATACATAGAAAAATGAAAACATCATATAATAACAAACAAAAAAATGCTCAAAATATCATATATTAAAAAACAGAAGGAGTATATATATATTTAGCAAAATTATTTTTACTAGGTTATGATTTTTCAGCTAGTTGCCATTATATTTTGGTTAGTAATAAAAGGAAGATATTTGAGGAAAAAAACAAAAAACCTCTATCTATAAAACCAATAATGTTTGAGATATATATGAAAGGAATAAGTTCCAATTGAAAGTAAACGAAGGATATGGTTTTCACCTTTCCAACCGGCTTTTTAAAAGAAAAACAAATGGGTATCAAGTCCTAATAGCATAATAATGTGAGATGGAAAAGAAAGAAAGCATCGATCTAGTGCAATAACAATCACAAATTTTATCCTCTAAAATATTTAAGGTAATTAAGAAAACTGAAAAGAAGGATTATGCTGAAGTTTTGTGTGTATGTGTGCGCGCGGAAGAATCTGTTGAAGTATAGAAAGCAAAATTCAAAAGGCATCAATGAAAAAACATGCAATATTATTATTACTAGGCAATTATCCGCGCCTTGCGTCTATACAAGACTAACAAAAAATAGTATTTTAAGATTTTAAATTGAGTCTATACATTGAACACAAAACCAATTACATATTTCAGTTAATGAATGATGTATAATGTTTTCTTATCTAGAAGTTTTTTATCGACTTCGTATGCATAATTTATGTAAATTAGATTAAAGTTATTTAACCTCAAAATTTGGAGGGCTATATGTGAAGATTTATATCATTTTTTTCTCTGATAAGTTAAAAAAAAAATACTCAAAAAAGAATAATCAAAAAGTAACCTAAGACAACCAAATACAATTCAAGGAGAGAAGGTGAGCTTGTGTTGCGTTGCAGAATCTAGAGTAGGCGGTCCAATGATGGTTAATGAAGGCAGCAAGATTGCGGAAAAGATCCGAGCCTCTCTTTCACGCCAAATAGAGTAAACAGTTTTTTGGAAATTGAGCTTGATAGTAGCAGTAGTATGTCTCTGTGTTTGAGACCTAAAATGATTTATCCAAGAAGTTGCATCATGTAAATCCCTTGGAGGATTAGACCAGACTTTTGAGGCAAAAAAACTTCAAATTCCTGCGGAGAATGCACCCTAAAAAAAAAAATTGTCGTGGCTATCCACACCGGAAGCACAAAAAATACATTGGATGGCACATTCAATCCACATCTTCTCAGCATATCCTTTGTTGGAAGTCTTTTGAGATTACAAGCAAGTAGAAAATGAAAACCGATGAACAATTCCTAAAAACCATATTACTTTAGTCCAAAGAACTGTAGGAGATAAAACCATTAATGGCTCACACGTATCTTTCGACGAAAATTTTGGGTATCTTTCAAAGAAAATTTTGGTGTAAACACACCTGCCGCATTGCGCGATAGTAATTTATCACATCTCTAGCAACAATAGGAATTGCAATGTCCTTAAGAGAGATGAGAAAACTCTGATCTTCTGGCCGAGGGCATATCATTTATACAATTTTCTTCGGTTCTTMTTGTTCTTCTTACATCAACKATTTACTTCTTTGTTGAGGTTTATACTTTCTATTACTCTCAGAATTTTGAAGTGGTGGGCTCTCCTTGTAAAGAATATATGATTTTCAAAATTTTTATGTTATGCATTGTCAAACTCGTTAATATCTTTTGGCACATCTTTTATTTTTTTAATTCCAGTCGTTTTATGAATTCGTTACCTTGATAAATACCTTGTTAATCGTGTTCTGACAATATTAGCTCTTATGTTTATTTTAGAGGATTATCCCTAAGAAAAAAATACATCATAACCATCGTTTGTTAAATCGAGTTTGTTTTCAACATATATCATAAGCCAAATGAATTCATAAATTCTCTATAGTACTTATTTATCAGAGTAATTGATCTCACCAAAATTGCATATTACACGAATACATTCAGTTAATCTCCTTTATTGACTGATGATGACAACATAACGTAATGAAAGAAGGAATGAATACTTGTTCAATATCCCAAAGACACAGGTTTTGAATCACATAAAAAATAAAACTAATTGGATCATTAGCTTCAACCTTTCAGTCTGTGTTAAAGATGATCGAAGTCCGAATTCGTGTTGTCATCATAGACTTGCAGAAGTTTCTATTTCATAATCATTTTCAACGTCTTTCACATTTTATTTTAAATGAGTTTGAAATTTAGATGATTCCTCCTACCACAATTTAATTTTTTTTGGTAACTATCTACCTATTTTCTTTTCGTATATGAAGATTTTGTTTTTTAGAAAGATTTTGTAATTCTATTTTTTTTCATGGATATTCCCCGTGTAGGCATTAAGACTTCAAGAGTTAAATTTATACACATAAACATGGATTTATAATATAAAAAAATTGTGATCGAATATAGGTTTTATATGAATGATTTTTATTTATTGTCGAATTATAAATATACCCTTTATATTTTTTAGCCTAAATCCTCACAAATGCACATAAAATATTGAAAACAATTTAAAATTTTAGTAACTTAAGGAGCACTAAACCCTCATAACTGAATAAAACTATGGTTCGATTGAATTTACATATGGAAAAATTCGATTTGTATGTAATGTTGCCGAATAAAACGTAACTAAATATTTAATTCGATTTGGTTTTTAGTGAAAAATCGATTAATTATGGAGTGTTCAGTTAATTTTCATCATCCCGGTTAAAGAAATCAATTGAAGGGGCTCGACAAACATCTTAGACAATTCAAAAATCAAAGGAAGATTTATATTTTTGATTAAAGTAAGCAAATACAAAATCTCTTTTTTTTTCTTTACATGAGTGATGTCTTCTTCCTCAGCCCTCCTCTCTCCATAAAGCTCGTTCCATTGCTAGTTTGATGAATCATACGACACACTCGCACCAAAACAAATAATTAAAAATATTCCATTAAATCACATATTTTTACCAAATGAAACATGTTCATGTGTGGCTGTGAAATCGTTCATATTCAAGGCTCTAGATGTCTAATCTTTTTTTTTTTGTTCAACAATTTCTTCATTAATCCTTAAACTGAAATCTTACATGGTTGCAAAAAGTAGACATTGAGAGCAATAAGACCATATAGATGTCTAATCTATGTACTATTATCTAACTGTGGAATGGGTCGGTTTTCAGCTTGAGCCACACTTTTGTCCTAAAGAGTCACAAACCATAACTTCTCATTTAAATAAGAAAAGCACAAAGTCAAACCATTATGATTTTGAAACAACCCCATTTAGTATGTAGTCTAACCTCATTATAACAACTTACTTCTATTGGATCCTCTATGAAAACTTCTTTTCTTTTTCTAGTATCACTCGGACAAGAAGATAAGCCTCAGCCACACAAACAAATTAAACCAAAATTGTATGTTTTCTTTTGTTCATAATGTGATCTTAAGCAACGGGTTTTCACTTTTTAATTTGGATTGAGAAAAATACAGGCTTTTAAGAGAAAGGGTTTGTCTAGGAAAACATCATAGTTACTATGAAAACATCATACGCGGACTGTAGTTATAAGATCTGAATGTAGGGGCAATATTAAAAATGACCATAAAGAAAGCCGAAGTATCAAATCTAAGATCGTTAATTACAGCAACAATGATTATATGACACAAAAATTATCTCCTTCTACTATAATGAAGTTAATGTCCCGCCTTGATCCAGTTCTAAGTATAGAATCCATGCATACTTTAAATCAAAATTATGCCAAACCTTATTGTATGTTTCCTAAGTTCTCTAATTTTAAGGAGACATTAAAGTTTATCATGAAGTTACTATTAAAAGATATATACACAAAAATATTGAAGGTTTTAAGTTTAAGCATATCCTCTTCAGCAGAAACACCTCTTATAATCCTTTCATGGAAGTCCAAAAGAGCTTGCAAGTTTAATATGTCCTTGTTTAGAAACCATATTGGATTATTGAATCATCAAAATCAGACCACACAACACAAGAGCCAGGAATAAAATACTTTGCCTTTATAGCCACTTAAAAGGATATTAAATCATCTGTTTGCTATTCTTTTGTCATCTGTTGCACCAACCTATACATTATTCTCAATCAATCCCAGAAATATATGTCGACCAAATAAACGTTTTTGTTCTTGTTATCCCTTTGAAGGTCAACTATGTTAACACGACACCAAAACATAAAAAAAAAATGATTATGAGAGATACAACAAAGAAAATCATATCAAATTATGGTTACGATAGACCTAAGAGAATAAAAATCGACATAGAATAGAAGATTTTAATGTTAGATGAAAACAAAAGGTGAAGAGAAACCTAATCGGACAATTAAAAAGTAAGTCATAATTAAAGAGATGACATCGACCCGGAATCCCAAACAAAACAAAAAGGATAATTTGATGAATAACAAAGATTGAAGTTTTTGTCTCTTAAGTTTTAACCCTTGATATAAGGAAGCAAACTCGAGG